GTGAGGAACTTTGGAAGGTGTCTTTTTCTTCCTGAGAGGCAGTGATTACAAAGAAAAATAAGCGTCAAAGGGAACAAGTTCGAAGGTTTCTCTTGAAAATTGGATGACGTTTAGGTGCAGCTATTGATATTCATGTTTGGTATTTCAGGCAGCTAGAAAGAACCTTGACTCTGCATACCTGGCATATAGTTTCTGCTTAATTTGACTGGATGTTGATATTGATGATCCTTGTATCAAAATAAGGAGGGGAAAGTGGTCGAGAGAGTAGTAAATCTTTTAATTGAAGGATGTCTAGTTACAGTGGATGAGTTCTTTATTGGAATAATTCGAGGTAGATTTCGAAGGTAGGGCTAGCCAGTGTAATTACAGATCATTTATTGCAATGCTCTTCGTTCTTTTAAAATGATAAATGTAGATTAGCAAATTGAGTCATATCTCAAAAGGCATAGCTGATAAGATTCTGAGGTGGTTGCACTGTTCCATGTTTTGCCATGGCAGCACTACTTGGCGCAAAAATATGACAAACGAAGTGAGAAAAGACATTAATGTTAAAGTGTGTACTATTTGCCAGATGCTTTATTCACTTATTTGTTTGGTTTGGTTATTTTTATTGTAACATTCATGTCTGATGCTTTATTTTTAATTCTTGTAAAAACTACCCTGCAGATGAATAAGCAAAACATGGTCTACACATACAATGGAATATAATTCAGCCACTAAAGAATGAAAATCATACATGCCACAACATGGATGAACCTTGAAAACATTATGTTAAGTGAAATAAGCCAGACACAAAAGGAAAAAAAAATTGTTTGATTCCATGTATAGGAGTTACCTAGAAGAGGGAAATGTGTAGAGGCAGAGAGGAGAATAGATGGAGCCAGGGGGCCGAGGGAAGACGGGAGTGGGAATAGTGTTTAATGGGTATGTAGTTTCAGTTTGGGATGATGAAAAGTTTTGGACAAGGATGCTGATGGTTGAATGATGTTTTGAATGTGCTTAATGCTACTGAATTGTACACTTAAAAATGGTTAAATTGGTAAATTTTGTTAAGGAAATTTTACAGTAAAAACTAAGAACAGCACACTCTACAAACCTTTGCAGATAAAGGAAATTGCTGTCTAGAGAGGTTAAGAACTTGCCCAGGATTGTCCAGCTAGGAATTTTCAGTCAGCATCCAAC